TTAGCGTAGGAGCTCCACTACAATCAATATTTAATGACGGGTTCTCTCTTTTTCGAGCTACTTGACAGATATGTGAGAGAGATGTGTTTAGAAGTACTGTGACGTGAGACGTTAATTTTCTTTGACCCATCAAAATGAATGTGGTCATTTATTAACAGAATCAAAATTTAACATCAAACATTGTACACGTGATTATTCTGATTGAAGGCAATAACACAGCTTAATTAATGAGCTTTACAATGAGAAATCATAAGGCCATGATTTCTCACTTGCAACTAAAATACAACAGACATTTCTGAAAATATCTGGATTAATTACTGGCAAGACAGAAGAGTTTTAAAGATGGGAAATGAAGGAGTTTAAATGGAGAGGAAAAAGATGGATGAGGATGTATGTCTGTAGACCAAAACAACACGCTCCTTTGAAGCGCAGTTCGCCCGCGGTACACTGGTAGTGAAGCTCATGATGACTCTTTACCTTTGGCGGAGGATGAATCCGCGGCGGTCAAGAGGTCCCTGGTACGCTACCTTTCAGCGTCTCCTCAGGGCGGCTGCGACTCGGCAGAAGTCCTGAGAACTAGTTCCACAGAACAAACCTCCTCAGAAGTTATGAAGTTTTCACCGGGTGGAGTCACAGCGAGGCATCGTGGCTCCTACAGGAACTCCAGCCGAACTTCATCAGTACCAGAAGAACTTAACGGGACTCTGAGAAGACTCAGAGGAACTCAGAACTTCTGTTCTCTCCCAGAACTTTGGTTCACGTCTCAGAACTGACTGGAACTAGGAAGTGTCGACATTTAAAGAGTTCTGTTTCCGGTCCCTTTTGGGAAGTCCTGATTGGCTGAAAGAACCAACAGGGGTGTGGTTTTAGTGACGTAAGAGGTTACTACAAGTCAGAAAAACAACGGAGATGTTTAAGAACAGACAGAGAAATGTTTTGGAGCAGACAGAGAAATGTTTAGGCGAAATGACAGACCCCAGGTGCCAGCTTCTCTGTTTCTGTCTGAGAGGTTTTAAAAACATGACAGTTCGTTCCAATAAACTTGTTTGCGACTGTCTCCGACTTTTGACCGACATCACTCCTTCTCATTTCAGACAGAAGATCAAAAAATGCATAATTACTTTGTAACAGACATCTAACTTGATTTCTACTTTGAATGAGGACTAAAAATCATTAATACTGTTTCACAGTTGATTTAAAATGAGTAGTTCACTTCAACATTTAAAATGGTTTGAACTAAACACACTTTTGATTATCAAGACATTTGTGAAAATAGTAATGACAATATAAAAGAGAGTGTTCTTTCAATTGATTAGTGCAGGACACACTTAGAAAGTCTCTGGATGAGCTTAATTTGTATTTCTGGATTCAAATCAATGAAATAACAGTTTCTGTCCCATGAAGGTCCTCAGGGTCAGGTTTTGACCTGAGGCTTAGTTCACTACATATATATATATATATATATATATCCTTTCTGGTGCAGTCAGCAGGTTCCTTACACTCATCTATTAAACCTTTTCTGTTCCCAGGAAACAAGCGAACTCACGTGCATAGATCTGCCAGTTTCTTGGAAAACCCTCAGGATGCTTTGTTGCAAGATGTGATCTGTAAGAACTTTTATTCATCATATTTTTATCATCATTACCAGAAACATGGAGATACGGGAAAGGCTTGTTGAAGACAGGGTCATGCTTCGTGCTCTACAGATGAGATGTTTGATGTGGAGGAGGTTCAAGAGAGTTCTGGAGAAAGGATATGATCTGAACGCCTTTAACTTAAACACGTAAACAGCTTTTACTAAATAAAACAATGTTCAGTCAGGTCATCTGGACAGTTGCTGAGACATTTCATCCTTCATCCAAAGGACTTCTTCAATCTGAGGAGCCACCAAAAAAAATTGATTCTCCACAAACAGCATAATCCATAGAGGAAAAAAACAGTTTGCTGTTGCTAAAATGACCTCCGGGGCCCGCCCCCTCCCCTGTCAACTCCTATGAGACAGTCATTCCAAAGTGGTTCAAAACACGAAACATCTCAGAAAAAAAGAAAAAAAACGTCCAGATGACCTGACTGAACATTGTTGGATTTATACCTGGATTACTGAGCATGGACTTTGGAATTGTTTACTAAACATTCAATTAAATTCAAAAATACTTTAATAATCCCAAGGGGAGATTAAGTGTTGTCGTAGCTCATCATCCTGGTTTCATTCAAGAGTTGTTAAAGATGCTGAGAGCTGTGGGCAGGAAGATCTCCTGCAATGAATCCGAAGAATCTAGCCACAGATAATGATCCACCCACCTGCATCCAGCTTGTTGTCAGATCAGGCTGGTCTCTCGGTCCTCCTGGGCAGCAGGACTGTCTGAATGCAGGGCAGAATTTCTCCCCGAGTGATGGTCACTCCTCCCAGCAGTCTACCGAGCTCCTCGTCACCATGACAGACAGCTGAAGGTGACGGGGGATGATCCTGGTCCTCCCGCTGTCATGAGCTGAGTCTCCCACCAGCTCCAGGATCTCGGCGGTCAGGTACTCGAGCACCGCAGCCAGGTTGACGGGAATTCATCCACGGCACCTCCTTTTCAACTCATTTGAGCTTTGGGTCTGCAGTCGAGGTATTTGAGCTGTTAATCAACTGCTCCTGGTTGTAAAAAAAAAACACCTTGTTGCCATGGTTACGCATCATAACAAATGCCCAAAAGCAAAAAGCTTTCAGTAAAAATCCTTCCAACTGCACAGCATCTGATACCAGAGGAAATAATCTGAAAAAAAGTGATTTACATCCAGAAAAAAGAGGAATTAAAGTTTTCAAAAGCAGTAACTCAGAATGAAAGAGCTGCTCCAACATGCAGCCACCCCGAGTGACACAGTTCAGTTGAAGGAGAACTAGACTAAAACACACACACATTTACCAGTTTGAGTTTTATTGTGTTTTCAACACCCTTAGTGTTCAGTTCAGGCTACAAATGTCTCAAAAATTAAAACACAGTAGTCAGATTTATTGTGCGTTCATTCAAATCAGTGCAAAAATGTTGTCAGTGCCTTTCTGACCTGGAATAAAGTTTTCTAGCCGCGTTAGAGAGTGGTGCCCGTTAACACAGTCAACTTTTAGACGTTGGATGATTCTTTGGAAAAAATCATCCACAACTTTGTCAACAACTCACAGCCTTCTTGATTTAACAGCACAAAAACAAAAGAACACATATTTGATTAGATTTTGGTCCTCGGTAATCATCAGTAAAGACGAGCGGCCACAATGAGAAGTTTCCCCGTTTTTAAACCTTCGTCCTCGTTCGGGTTTCTGTCGAGCTGCCAAGGCTCTTCCTGTGAGGGTTCTTAAAAGAAGCAGAGCTGACTACAGAGCAGCTGATGGTTGTAAAACGCTGCCCTTTGTTTAAAACTGGCTCATCACAGTGAGTGTTATTAAAAAAAAACCCTTATGGAGGACGTTCAGTGTGAAAGAAGCGCTACACAAATAAACAGACAAGAACGTAGTGGAAGCAGTGATGACAGAACACTGAGCAGCTCCTGCGGTACATTCATGAGGCTCGGGTCTGTATTTCAGAAGCAGGTCACCAAGAACTGGACCAGCACCCTCAGCGGCGGCTCGTCTCTCACTCAGGCAAGAGAAAAACAACTGTTTGAGAAAGTTTTTAAACTTCGCAGCTGCCGCCCCATGTCTGTTTTCAGGAATGTAAATAATATATTTTAGAATAAAACGTGTT